AAATGGAAGGCATTGTGATGATTTTGTTGAATTTTTTTAATTAAAAGAAGAAGAAAAAAGTGTTTTGTGATCATAATGATTCATCTTTAGAAGAAATATTCAGTATTATATTTGTGCAAATTAACTAAGTTTCACTTATGATTCCCTAGTAAAATTTTGTTGGTGAACAAATTTATATTATGATAATCACTAGATGCTACAATCTTTTTCTCATCCTATGCTGAAATTAATAAAAGTTATTCATAAAGAAAAAAAGAATCAAATTGTCACTTATTAAAATATAATCATGGATCATGATAACAATTCAAGAATTAGCTATACATAGATAAATTAAGTGAAATGACAAAATTGTCCTTACCTCTAGAAGGCCTTCTTAGTATTCTTAAGATTGATTAAAATTGGAAACTACAAATTTATTCCATTTATAACCAAAACACATGGTTTAGATTATGCACCATATATTCCACTTCTATATAATGTTCTAAGTAAATCATAAACAATAAAAATCATAGATTATTAATCCAAACATAATTTTGTCTGCGCGATGCGAACCAAACAATTCCAGGTGTTTTACAAGCTAAGGTTAGGGAGAAATGAATCCCCTTGGTTCATATTACATGATACTGGATATTGTAGATGTAACAATTTACAATATAGTAATTGTGTCAAATAGACAAAATTGATTATGTTTTAATGAATTTAAAAAAATTCAAGGTTAAACTCAAACTCATTCGAGAATTGGATACTAACTTTTATGGTTAAGAAGGACATCTCTAAGAATGTCAAATATGTGATTATACAAGTTTAGAAGAATAAAGAATCGACAATTGTTTTGTTCAAAGTAGATCGAGTAAAGAATCATAACACAACCCGTCCAACTTAAATGCGAAAAAACTACACTTCAAGAGGACAAAATGTACAATAAATCTTCACATTGATACATCATTGGGCTTGGTCCATTGCCATATTGGATCAGTTTTAACTTTTTGAGTTTTGTTATTTCCAATTTGAAAGCCCATAATTAAATGGGCCTAAGGTAATCCCTTGTTCAAGTGTATAACATTGTGAAATATACGTAAAATATTATATTTTTAAAACTATTTAACGTTTTAGTCGATTTGACAAATATCACATCATTTCCCTACTGCGAATTCACTCTATTGGGTGTGAAATTCAGTTTTGACAAAGCATAACTTCATTCAAACTTAAAACACTAAGGTCTGATGTTAGATTTTGACAAAGTCGAGCTTTAAACCCGTAAAACTAGAGTTGATTTTAAAGAGATTAAATTTTGACTATTGTTAAATAGGGGTCCTAAAATGGTTATTTGTATACTTCGCCCAAGTAGAGTATGTACGATATCGATATCGATGTTTGAATCTTGGGCCAATATTTATTGGGCTTTTGAGACATGCACTTTACTTGGCCCATAATATGGGTTCCCAAAGCCCAATAAGTATTCCCCCTATTATCAAGCACGTTTGATTTGATACTTAGTTCTAATCTAACACTACAAATAATTACTCTTATAATTTAGTCAATTTCATAATTATTTAGCAAAAAGTAATTATGGATTGGAACCATACAACCTTAGGATTGTGGATAATAATAATATATATAATTTGGAAACTAGGTTACCTCTTCTATTTATCTTTATAACCTAGTCACCTCTATTAAAATTAGTTGGTAAACTTGACTTATCAATGTGTTTGGAGCTTAAGGGTGTGTTTGGTATGAAGGAAATTTTCCAATTTTCTCATGTTTGGTTGGGTTAAATGTTTTCCAAATCAACTCATTTTCCTCAAATTTAAGGAAAATTACTTCCCTTCAAAACTTAAGGAAAACATTTTCCAAAACTCTCTTCCAACTTGAAATTACAATTACTTTTTTGTTGAAAAACTCAATTTATTTTGTCTCTACCCTCAAACCAGCCCCCAACCACCCCCCAAAAAAAAATAAAAAATTTAAAGTTTATTTTTCAATTCAATTTTTTTACCCCACCCTCACCCCTACCCCCACCCCCACCCCTCGCAAAAAAATATTAAAAATTGTTTTTAAAAAATATTTCTAATTTCAATTTTTTATTTTTTTACCCCCACCCACTACCCTCGCCCCCCTATCAACGCCCCTATCAGCCCCCTTCAAAAAGAAAAAAATTTAAGTTTGTTTTTAAAAATTATTTTCAACTTCAAATTTTTATTTTTTCATCCCGATCCTCGATCACCCCCCCCCCCCCCCCCTCCCCTCCAAAAAAAATTGAGTTTGTTTTTAAAAAATATTTTCAACTTCAAAATTTTATTTTTTCACCCCTACACTCAACCCCCCCCCCCCCCCCCCACCCCAAAAAAAAAATTTAAGTTTGTTTTTAAAAAATATTTTCAACTTCAAAAATTCATTTTTTCACCTTACCCTCGACCACCCCCCCCACCCATCCACCCCTACCAGCCCCCCCCCCCCCCCCTCCCCATCACCCCAAAAAATAATTTTAAGTTTGTTTTTAAAAAATATTTTCAACTTTAAAATTTCATTTTTTCACCCTACCCTTGAACCCCTCCTACCCAGCCCCCCACCCCACCCACCCTAAAAAAAAATTTAAGTTTGTTTTTAAAAAATATTTTCAACTTCAAAATTTTATTTTTTCACCCCAACCCTCGATCCCCCCCCCCCACCTACCCCCTACCAGCCGCCAGCCCCCACCCCAAAAAAAAATTTAACTTTGTTTTTAAAAAATATTTTCAACTTCAAAATTTCAATTTTTCACCCCTACTCTCGACCGCCCCTCACCCACCCATCCCCACCCCCAAAAAAATTTAAGTTTGTTTTTAAAAAATATTTTCAATTTCAAAAATTATTTTCAACTCTAGTAAGAATAAAAGATATTTCTCAAAAATTCATTCATTCATAAATCAAATACAAAATCTTTTCCGAAAAATATTTTCTACTCACCAACCAAACATGAGAAAATAAGTCAAAAATCAACTTGTTTTCCAAGAAAACATTTTCCTTCATACCAAACACACCCTAAATCATCATTAGAGCACCAAATTTGTAAAATTTGAGTGGTGAAAATCATATTAGAAAAGATAATCAAAGTTATTCGATGAAGATTTAGACTAGTTTGGAACAAGATAGTGACTGAAAATTACAGAATAAGTTCGTATATGATATATACATTTATACATTGTGATTACTTTTATACGAGATAGATTCCTTTTTATGTACTATTTCAAATTCATATCAATTTTTTTCACATTTCTTATTTTAACTTTTTTTTTAAAATTCGGTTTTTAATATCTATAACATTAGTGTTTGACTAAATTTAAATTTCACATCAAATGTTAAAGTACTTCTTAACAAAAACAATTTTATATCTAAAAAATATCAGTATAAAAATTTTAATTAAGAATAAAGGAATACGTATCCGATTACACCATTTTTGTTGGTGTTATAGGGGTTATTTTGTCATCATTCCAGCAACCTCCAAAGTCCAATGCAACAAGAAAAGATAAAAGTCCCCATACCTTGCTGATGACATCTATCTTGGTTCTTATTAATTAGGTTTGTAAACCCAAATATATTATATTTTCTCTAAATATTCCCTTCCTAGCCACACCAAAAATAAATGTGTGATGTGCATAAACCTAAATATTTAAATCTTGCATATAAAATCACACTATTGATAAGGACATTTTAATATCGATATTTATTGCACTTGAGTGAGGGTTTTTCAGAAATAGTTTCTCTATCTTCATGAAATAATGATTAAATTTGTATACATTGATCATTCTCATACATCGCTAGTTTGATTTGATGAGATATATTATTATTATGGTTGATAAGGAATGTTTTATTTCTTAAAATGAGACTTGTAAACATGAAGTTCAAATTAATTAAATCTCAAAATAAATACTAGACACTGAATAAAAATATTTTAAAATTTTAAGAAAATGGTGAGTCAGACATTTTCATTATATAGGAAATGTTAGAAGACACCACGTAATATATATGAACAATATATATAACTTTGTTTTTATTTTTGAGTCCAATAAAAGATCTTACAGTAAATCTCTATTAAAAATAAGCCAAAAGATGGACCCAACTTTTTGTTTTGTTGCTAAATTCTAACACAACAATTATGATGTTGCTAGCCCACAATATTATTTATCTATACTCTATACACATCACAATCATCAACTAGACTAGGGGCTATGGATTTGTATTTTTGTTTTCTTCTCTATGATATTTGATAGTTTCTTTGTTGATTTTTATTAATTCATAAATTTTAAAATATAATAATTAAAATAAATAATTTCTTAAAATAATTCTATTAATTGATATATAAATTCAGATATTAAAAATAGTTTCTTTAAAAAACTAAAATTTAGAATAAAATATAAAATATAGATTTTTATCTTGATATGTTAAAATTAATAAGTAAAAATAAAAATATTTTATTTTTAATATAACGAATAAGTAAAAATGAATAAATAGAGTATTTATCTGAAGCTCAACTGATTCAAATTATTTACATTAAGTTATTTACTTTATTTTTCTTTTTAGTTAGCTTAAAAAACGATGCTTATGTCCTTTTTCTTCCTTTGTTTGAGACATTTGATATAATTTATATATCTAGTTTACAATTATAAAATCTATTTTTTATTTTCTTAAATTGTATATTAAATAAAATAAAATAATCTAGACAATATATTTTAACATTCATTACTAGAGAATTGAAATAACTACGAATTTCATCACTAATTCTCTTGTAACTAATAAAAATAGTTTTCTATATAAATTCAAATTTAATCAAGTTTCGATAAACGGGTGTTAAACACGTGAACTAACATGAAACTTGTAGACCCTATATATATAATCACCCCCCCTCCCCCCTCCATTCTTATCCTCTTCACCCTTTCTCCCCAAAAACTCCATTTCTAGCATTACTACATTATACACACGCAAAAAAAAGAAAAATCACTATTTTATTTTATCTATTTTTCAGTGTTAGTTGTTGAGATGAAAAGAATACTATTACAATACTCAAACCCAGAAATTTTACATTCAATGAGTTCATCAGATACAACAATTACTTATCAACCCATGAACGATTCCGTAGCTACAGCAATCGGAAGACCGTTTAAGCTCACTGCACCTTTCGATTCATCAATGACGTTAACAATACTCGTTCTTCTCACTGCTCTGTTTTTCATGGGTTTTTTCTCTATTTATATACGTCACTTCGCCGGAGATACAACAACTTCCACCGGTTACGATGATGATCGACGCCGGAGAAATCCATCTCTGTCGTCGTCTTCTTCCTCCGCACACAGGTTGTTAGTTTTTCAATTACTGTAATTGCTCTGAATTTTTTAAATTTTATCTGATTCTATCGTAATTGTTAATCATTGCTCCCTCCATCTCAATGCGAATACATTTTGAATTTCGAGATTCAAATAAATTTTTTTTTTATATATTTTTTAAATATTTTTATCAATTATTGTGACTTGCAACAGTTTTTACATAGTTTACCTTGAAGATTTTATGCTCAAACTTTTGATTAAACTTAAAATGTTTTACTCTCGAAAAATGAAAAGTGTCACGTAAATTATGACAAAAAATATAATTTATACTCTCTCTGTTTCATTTCACGTGAAGTAGTTTGACTCGATATTGAGTTTAAGAAATAAAAGAAGACTTTTAAAACTTGTGGTAAAAAATGAAGTAGAAATTTGTGTGATCGTAAATCATTTCATTAAAGATAAAATAGATATTTTATAGTTAAATTATTACTTAATATATAAAAATATGTCATTTTTTTAACTATTGATTAAAAAGAAAAGTAAATCACATAATTGGGACGGACAGAGAAAGTACTATTTTTTCATTGCTTTCACATACATATACTTCAAAAATCTAGAAGTTTCATTGCTTGAATTTTCCGTTAAAATTTTAAAGTTTTGAATCTCAAAATTTTAATTTAATCATATAAAATAAATTAGTACATAGGTATAAGAAATTAAGAAGTATAACTCGGTATCATACAATTAGACAAACTTTTTATTAATTTTCATTTTTCATGAAAAAAACTCATTTTGCTACGAAAATTTTATTTTCTCATATAATAATAATCAGAATGTACTCGTTTATTTCGATGATGATTTGCAATTATCAACTTTCGTGTTATTTTGATCCCAACACAGGTCTTGCCGGAAAGGGATGGACCCATCAACGGTACAATCCCTACCGTTGATTTCATACGGTGGAGCCGCGAAGCACTTGATCGAAGACTGCCCAATTTGTTTATCGGAGTTCGAGGTAAGTGAACTCGTTCGTCTTATTCCGTACTGTCGTCACGTGTTCCATCAACAGTGTCTTGACACGTGGCTATCATCGCACGTGACTTGTCCACTCTGTCGGTCCACGCAATTTTTCAAAAATGTGGATGAGGTTTGTTTGGATGTAGTTGATGTGGGAAATGAAAATGGTGTGAGTGAAAGATCAACGGTTCAAGAGTGTGACACGTGTAGGTGTATTAGAAGATCATGTAGTTCTTCAAATTTGGGGAGTAGAGTGGCATTGCATAGAAGTGCAAGTTTCTAAAAAAAAAAAAAATTGTAAAGATTTTGTAAGTATTAGCACTACTTTTGTACATCACTCAAAATTATAAAGATTAATTATTGTGATTTATAATTTATTGTGAAGTATAATAGTGTATGTTCATTCACATTTTTGAGTTATTGTCATGAAGTTTTAAATTTCACGGTATTCTTGGATTACCTCAATGGGAATAATTGTATCGATTGTAATAAGATCGACTTTCATGTTAGTTGTTGATGGAGTGTTTCAAGAATAGATTGACTTTCAAGGTAGTAGTAACCTTCGTGATTGATAAGATAAAATAAGGGAAGTGAGACTGAGATCGTTCCGACATACGAAGAGAAATTGCACAAATACGTCAGTAAGGAGAGGTGAGAGATTGGTTTTAGCCGGAGTAAGCAAAGAATAGATTGACTTTCAAGGTAGTAGTAACCTTCGTGATTGATAAGATTAGATAAGGGAAGTGAGACTAAGATTGTTCTGACAAACGAAGAGAAATTGCACAAACGTTAGTAAGGAGAGGTGAGAGATTGGTTTTAGCCGGAGTAAGAAGAGGTAGAGGCACTCCAAATGAAAATTTGGAAAGCAATGATGTGACATAATATGAAATTTGGAAGGCGATGATTTGACATAATATGAAACTACTTCAACTTAGCTTACCGTGGATATGAACCTAAACAAGAAAGTGTGCAGATTCAGTGTCAGGGTAAAAAAAATTAGTAGATAATCAAGTGTTGTCACTTAGTTGGGAGACAGGGGGAGGTTGCTAGATCTTGGTTTATTTGTTTTGTATCTTAATATTTTGCTATTAAATTTTTCTTGTAAACCTGTTTCAAATAACTTTTTTTTTTTCAATTGATGATCTATTGAAAACAACCTCTATCCCTTTATAAAAATAAGATTTACATATATTTTATCCTTCATGAACCTCACTTTATGTCATTGGTATTTCAGCTAGCATCTATTCATTAATGAATCACTTGGACCAAATTAGGAATATTTTCTTCTTCTTTTTTTAATGGTGAACAACTTTACTTTTTCTTTTTTCATCATTTTGCAAGTGTGGCATCAAAATTGAAAACTCAAAGTAAGGTTTACTTCTATACCTTTTGTTTGCTTAATTATGTTAAAAGGCTTATTATTGACTTGATTAGCACTAGCAAAAAGATGATTCCTTGAAGCAATTGAAAGTAATTCCAATTTGATAATTGTCTCATTTTGCTAAGATGACTTGCTTAGAGATGCAAAGTATTAGTTCTGATGGATATTATTTTCTTATTAGTTATTTTTAAAAAATAATTGACATGTTTTTATTTTCCTAATGATTAGTTTTTACATAATGAGAAACTTCTATAGCTATATACAAATTATGACCTGTTTAAATTAAGTTGTATATCTTGACAATTTGTTAAAGTTTTCAATAAATTTCATGTAGACATTTGAATTATGACATGGTCCAATTGAACATCTGAATACGTGATAAATTTTATAAAAGAATTTCATTGTAAATTTTGAAGAAGAAATTTCATGTATTTTCAAACGCTCATTATGTAAATAAGTTAATCACTTAAAATATATATCTCTATTAGTTACAAACACTAGTTTTAATAAGCTGAGAAATCTCAAGTTGATTTCAATTAAGATTGATGTATATTTCTATTATATAGAAGAGCCATGAGAAGGACGATCAATGGCATTTTAGTAATCTTAACATCATTTAAGGAAAAAATAATAATTGCATAATTAAGGAATAAGTCATCAGCGACCCCTTAAAGTTATCCGCATAATTCACTTAGACACCTCAACTAAGATTAGTACATATTGAACACTTTTACCAATTCAAAAATTGTTCCTATTATCCATTTTTTGATAATCAGCAAAATATATGAAGAGTGTGTGATACACTTGCGGTGACGTGGCGAAACGGCTAATTAAAAAATAACATGTGGCATTGGGCCCCGAAAATTATAAAAAGAAAAAGAAAAAGAAAAAAATAAAAATGTCAACCTATTCTATCCAACCCCCTTTCATCTTCATCTTCTTCCTAAAACACATTTTTTCTCAAATTACAAAACCTAATTCTTTTCAAATAACTTGAAGATTAACTTTTAATATATATATATATATATACTAAGAGTGAAGAAGAAAGAAAATTTTGCCGGCGGTTATTCATTTCTACATCGATGACAAAATGAAATTATTAGCTCAAAAATTAATTCTTTCAAATTTTTGAATATCATTTTTAATAAATTTAATGGGTTTATATATGAATTTGAGTAAAAATCTTTGTTCAAAAATTGTGATAAACAAATATCGGCTAACTTTTTTTATACGTAAAAATCATTTATCTTCTTTCTTCTTCTTCTTCATATTTGTTCCTTATTTTTATGAGATTTGAAATAAATCATATGAAACTTTCTTTCAAATTTGAATCTTCATAGTTGATTTTCATTTATTTTCATATTTGGAAGAAATAATATTCTTTTTTTTAATAAAAAAGAAAGAAAAACAATGTTGGAGCTAAAATGAAGAAAGTTTTGCAAACTAAAGTATGAAGAAGATTATAGGTAGGGAGTGGGGTCCTTTTCTTTTTTGAAAAAAGTGTAAATAAAAGAAGAAAAATGTTTTTAAGTTAATTATAATGCCAAGTGTCAATAAAAGAAGAAAAAATGTAAAAAAAATCAAAAAGACACTATTTTGAATCTTTTCACACGCTTCAGGGAAGTGCAAAACACATTTTTGTCATATCAGCGTTTTGTGTTTAATAGGTACATGTTTTGAACAATTTAGGTGTTCAACAAATCTTAGTTGAGGTGTCTAAGTGAATTATGAGGACAACTTTAAGGGACGGTCGATGACTTAAGCTTATAATTAATGGTCAAAATGAAAAGCTAGAAGAATCCATACATGTCTTAACTCTTGTTATGGGCCCATAAGGATATTATTATAATTTTGTTAAAATAAAGAGTTTCTATTAGTTAACTTCTTACAAACAATAATAAATGCTAAGCTTGTTTTGACATATTTTAGAAAGAAAATTTTGAACTAATTAAAATAAAATGTGTTTGAATAGTTAATATTTTGTTCCTAGAAATACTTTAAAGTATTATTGCGTAAACATATTTTTAATATTATGTTACATAATATGACCACTAAATTCGTATCTTGATTATTAAAATAGTCTTTAAAATGACGTATCAATATTTTTTTAATTAATTTGAAGAAAATATCAAATTTTGTGACTAAAAGAATGAACAATGTTTGACTATCAAGAAATTAATAATTTGATAATGTACTCATCGAAAGATTAAAAAATATAAGTTTTCATTTCTAAATATCAAATATGATAAACTATTTAACAGAGAAAAATTGACAAGGAAAACGTTTAACATTCAAATTCTAATTAATATTAAAATTCAAACTAAAGAAAAATGAGTAGTTAAAAAATAAAGAAGAACAACAAAAGAAAATGCCAATAGAAAAAGACTTTGTTAAGAAATATAGAGGAAGGAAAAAAAAATTAGGAAAAAACAACCTGAAAAAACAGTATATTTGTTATTTTGTGGGGGTAAGATTTAGAGTTTTCTTTACGGCATGATATTAAGAGTGTAGTATCAAAAAAAATTAATTAATGTAATTTAGAATATAAAATTACGATAATTATCATTGTATATAGAAATAAAGTTTCTTTCATGATTGTTTTTATTGTTGTGGAGTTAAAAATTAAATTTTTAATAAATACTTTCAATATTTAGAATATAACATTACGATAATTGTTATTGTATATAGAAATAAAGTTACTTTCTTGATTGTTTTTATTGTTGTGAAGTTAAAAATCAATTTTTTAAGTATTTCTATTTATCGAAGACAATAATAAAATGTATCACAAAATTCATCGACAAAGCCAATTACAAACACAATATACTTAAGTTGAAGCAATAGAGATTTGAAAGAGTTTAAATCGATCTTTACGAATTGATTGATCAATTATTAGTATTTTATCAGATGCAAAGCTTATGGTGCAAATATTACAAAACGAAGGTAATAACATTGTGGAAAATAGATACCACTTGTGAATACATATGAAGATCGATGAACTTTTTCAAAGATATCAACATTTTATATATTCCTCGAACACAAAATGTTTTTAACTCATAATCTAACGCAATTCTCTATTTCCTTGCCGCATAGAATTTTTTAGAATTCAACTTTCTCAATTTAGGTTGTAAACGACATATTTATGTCGTATGACCATTTGAAATAGATTATAAAGTAATATATTGAAGTTGTTTACTAAAGAAAAAAATAGTATAAAGTACAGAAATCTCATAACTTTTAACTTTGGAGGCTAATTACATCATATCTGGGAAGTTTCCTCAATTACAAAAATCTCAAATTTTTCATTGCTCTCAAATACATTCCTTGGTTGTCCAACACATTGCAAATGACATATTACTTCGAGGGAGGAATGTGTTCAAGAGGGGATTGGTATGTATCCGAGAGGGAATAGATGTATCCGAGAGAAAATAGGGATGTATCCGAGAGAAAATTATAATATCTGAAGTTGTAAATTTATGTAATTTTTCCAACAAAATATGTGAAATTATATTGAGCCCATATCACGGGCCTTAAATTATCTAGTAATTAAAGTAGATGACATATTTTATGTAGTTAGTTTATCTACCCGATAGATATTTAAGAAAATACACAAGTTTTTTCAAATCAAGTTCAAACTTTTTTTACTATAATAAATACACAAATATTATGACAGATTTAAAATCGCAAAGTTTACGATTAGATAAAGGTCAAATTATGTGCAACAAATAGAAACATAGGTGATAGTACTTGATAGTTAAGAAATGCAACAAATAGAAAAAAGAGTATCATTCATTTCAATGAGTTAATGTATATATAAATAATATATATTAAACTTTACATCTTTAGTTTCCCACCTTAGAGAAGGGGTGAAAAAAAAATGTAATCATCATATCTCACTTGGTCATAAATT